TGAAACGTTTTAGGTGTCTGAGCTAATCGACTGTGTGTTTCGTAGATATTCACAAAATGTGAAGCAGTTTTAGTAGTAGAGGTTACCAGAACCAGTGACCCTAAACACCCAATCCTTTTTGAAAGACTGGTTAAGTTTTGGCACTGTTCAAGCATGCGTTGTTGAAGAAGCTAATGAATGTGTATTAAATTTGGCTGTATGTTTACACTGATTTCCATACAACACTCGGTTGCTATTGTCAGTGCAGTGGGGGCGGTGGGGTAGCCTAATGGTTAAAGCGTTGGCTTGTCACGCCGAAGACCCGGGTTCGAATCCCCACATGGGTAAAATGTGTGAAGCCCATTTCTGGTGTCCCCCGCCGTGATGTTGCTGGAATATTGCTAAAAGCGGCGTAAAACCAAACTCAGTCAGTCAGTGCAGTTTTTACTGTTTATCATTTTCAGACGAAAGTTTCCGTTTTGGCAAAAACTGTGTAATAATTGTGGAAATGATGATGCGAGGAGGAAAAGCAAATAACGATGCCATTATGCTGTTAATGTGAGCTGGCATCTCATGAGATATTACTTGAAAGTATATTCAATTGTCGAGAATTTGGTTCTGGACATTATCTGATGCCAGTAATTGAACGAAGCTTTAAGGTACATTTGGAGAGCAAAATTTAAACTTCAAGAAATACTTTTCTTTTCCTTTGTTGGGTTTATAGCGTAAATATGGTCATTATATACAGTATGTGATATGCCTTGGAATTTCAAAAACCTGGAGGACGGTGGGGAAGCCTAGTGGTTAAAGCGTTCGCTCGTCACGCCAAAGACCTAAGTTCGATTCCCCACATGGGCACAATGAGTGAGTGACTTTAGTTTTACGTCGCACTCAGCAATGTTCCAGCTATATGGCGGCGGTCTGTAAATAATCGAGTCTGGACCAAACAATCCAGTGATCAACAGCAGGAGCATCGATCTACGCAACTGGGAACCGATGACATGTGTCAATGAAGTCAGTGAGCCTGTCCACCCGATCCCTTTAGTCGCCTCTTACGCAAAGCATGGGTTACTGAAGATCAATTCTAACTCGGATCTTCACGGGTTCATGGGTACAATGTGGGAAGCCAATTCCTGGTGTCCATCACCGTGAAATTGCTGGAATTTTGCTAAAAGCGGCGTAAAACTAACTCACTCACTCACGGAAAAACGGGATATTTTAATATTATGACTGTCATGGCTGAAATTATGCGTGGGTTAATTTATCTTTAAATAATCTGAAAATAGAATCCCCAACCTCCTCACAATTTCATACTGACAACGCGTCCTTCAAAATGAATCATAGAGGGCACTATATCAGCAATGAAATGCGGAGGAAATTTATTTACTAAAAGTATCCTGATAACATTGTCATCAAATTCATTTCTTTCATGATGATGTTATCATATCCCCTATAGGTGAAACAAGTGTATATTGTTAGTAGATAAGTATCCAATATATTTCTCTTGAAAGAATTATTGCGAGATTATATCATACATCTCCCATGGCACATATCAAACATACACACCGCCGTCTCCTTGCCACATCAGCTTCAGAGTTGGTCGAGGTGGATAGCCTTAAGGATCACGTCCTTTGTCCAGCTACAGGAATGGGCAGTGCTTCGAAAGTTTTAGAACCACCTGTTCACTGGTTGCAACATATATTGCAACATACAGCAGTCAATATATTTAATGGCAGTCAACCATCGTTGCTCAGTCGCTTTTATTTTGCTTTGTACACCCCCAGAGCGACGCCATTTCACGTCAGTTCCTGTTTGATCCCGTCGTCCTTGTGAATTTACTAAAACACTTCTGGGCAAAACTACAGTTTATAACACTACACATAGGGGAGGGGCAAACTACATGTATTCAACACAGTTACATTAGTTACTGCAGATATTCATTACATATAGGAAACGTATTTCGTTAACATGCATATGTTTCCTGTTTGTTGCATTGTCACTTAATTAACATGGAAACACATTCAAATCATAGCCAACGTGGAATCACTTCGTATTTCACTGGGGTAGTACGGTTTTATTGATAAAAGGGAAATGGTACTTTTAACTTTATGCCTTAGTTGACTGTGGCAATGTATCCGATGGCATTATGTATAGGTTAGACTACGAGGGTCCCGTAATTCACCAGTGAAATGCTGATGTTGTTTGGAAAGTAGTTCCGTTCCGGGTTTTAACTGGTTTGGCAGTCAGTTAAACCCTGGTCTAAAACAAAGGAGCCATGGTTCAACTCAGCAGTTCAACGGATAAACACTCGTGGTATAATTACCTATACTCCAGGTGTAATGAAAACTAAGCGTAGTCACATGACTACATGACACATATAGGTAGTATCTATGTCGTCATACGCATGTCATAACAGTTAGTGACAATAGAAGCTGACGTATTTATAACGTAGTCAAAGGTTACAGAAACGTTATGTTTGTGACGTCATCATGTCTTTGATAACATAGTTAGTAAGACACTCCGACGCAGCGATGACTTAGCATAACATCACTGCCAGAGGCTAATCTGCACATCACGTGACCAGACTTTTTCTCTTGTTTGTAAACAAACGCACATATTCGTAAATAAGAAGAGAGTGGCGCAAGCTTTTCGGTTCGCTCTTAATAATGTTTTACATAGATATTCTTCTATAACTGCGGCAGTAAGGTTTATGACAATACATTATGTAAACGCGGCTTCATCGTTTGCTCTCCGTGGGGCTTCGATGACAGCACGAGGAGCCGTAAAACCCATGTAAACAATGCGCCAACCGGAATAGTGTTACACGTTTGAGGAAATTTTCTCATTGAAACTAAACAATTCTGTCGAAGACGTTTTTTAATTGTGTAGACTCATCAAAAATAAAAGAATAAAAGAAATATGTACAATAATTTGAATGGACTGTGCAAGATGTGACGAATCGTCACATCTCGCTGGCCTGTGACAGAGGTACTATGCTGCTCGCATGGAACTCTGGGTAGGAGAGTGAGTTAATAACAATACATCACGGTTTCAGTGCACAAATACGGTTACAAAATTATACTTTTGAATTAAATATTCTTCAGGACAGTAGTTCTTTTTCCATTCGTAATTAAGTATCATGCTTTAACAATTGATAAAACGGAAAGATATTCAACTGGACAATCCCGCATTCATTAATGTGTTTGCTTACATTTATACCTTACATTTGGATTTCGAAAATGCTGTATATGTACATTGTCTCGGTCCTGTAGTTGCATACCTGTGTAATGATCACCCCATCCCGCACATCTTGTAACCTATATAACATCTTTGACAGTAAATAGTTTGTCTTCAGTAAAACAAAATTTGCAGTCTTTAAATATAATTGAGCAAGTTCGACATCGAAGTGTGTGACATGTTGTTACACTGACAGTGTTAGTGATTTTGTTTCTCTTGAATACACATGGAAGATTTGCTCGTATTATGGGCATAATTGTACAATAATTTGTGCACAATTATTGTAACATAATCATTGTATCGCCGTTGAGGGATGGAATGAACGTGTGTACATAAAAAAACTAACAGGCACGAATATCTTGACCCTGTCGTATAAATATTTATTGCTTAACAATTATGCCTTTTTCTCCAACATGTTTCGATTTTTACTCTTCGGGGAGATTGTAGCGATAACAGTATGACGTCTTTACATATATATTGTGACGTCACAATATATATGTAATGACGTCATACTGTATATATACGCACAAAATGTCAAAAATAGTACAGGTGTTCAGTGATAAATATCACATAGATAAATAAAAACAGAATGCCTTTTTCTCCAACATGTTTCGATCTTTACTGTTCAGGGAGATTGTAGCGGTTACATATATATACACACGCACAAAAATAATAATATATACATACATATAAGGATATATATATATATATGCAGTTGAAAATGGATCAACTTCAAAGTGAGATGGATGCTTAAACGGAATATGTAAATTTGATGCCTGAATCCTTCATCTTCTCGCCCCATATTTGATCAAATCTCTCGTTTTCTGCTACAGTGAACCAGTTCTTCCAGTCTCCGATTTCACCTGAAATATATGCGTGTGTGGGGGTTTAAAGACCTAAATGGCATCCAACATCGATAGTAGCTTAATTACAATTGCGGAGTACAGAAGGCCAAGGGGCCTGTTGTGTTCGTCCACTGATCATTCGTTCGAATCCCCTTTTTGCACCTCTCCTATAACACCTATTGTGAATGAAAAACAATTCAAGGTTCAAACCCACTCACTGTACGTTAAAGTAGCGTTAATTCCATGATGGTTTCCAATGCTGAATGGCTTTGGCAACATATATGTGGGTCCAACGTCTAATGTTTGTTTTTAATTAAAACTGTGTTAATATGTCAAAATTATCTTTCATGTAGGTATCTTTATCGACAGAGTTATCAAATGTATCGATGATTGAGAAGACAAGTGTGCTGAAAACCCCGAATGCCTAATATAGAATATCATTTCCATCCTATAAATCCATCCTTCAATCATCGGAGATTGTTTACTATCTTGTCTAACTATAAAGTATATGTAAAGCCTACCTTTCCTGTAAAATGACGCATCCGAACCTTTCTTCCAGAAATCTGGGTAACGCCCTTCTTGTTTATCTCTGGCTTCCTTTTCCTTCAGGTTCTTGAAGGAACACGCCTCGAGCACATCCTTACAGAATCTGTCTGTGACGTCTAGATCCAGAAACCTTGCCATGTCCTTAAGACACTTCAGGGGATTCTGGAAATACAATTCAACATTATGGTGAAATTCGTAAAGTAACCTTACATGTGTACTTTTCGTACTTGTTACATCGTTTTAACCGCTGTACTATGAAGAACGTGTCTTTTAGTATTTTGAAACACATGTTTTCTTGAATGCATGCATGAAAAACAACAAATCCAAAAATGTATATTTCAGAAAGCCACATCAGACAGTTAATCATATACGAAGAACACTGTTCACACTTACGACTTTCATATCCTCATAGTACAGATAGAACACCGGTTGTTCAGGGGACACTTCAGCTGCCCAGCTTGTGAGATAGCCGTGGTAGGATCCATAAGGTACTGAATAAACGACGACAGTGCGTTAGTATGGTTAACGAAACTTGAAGGCATTGCCATTTTAAAAATTAAATATCGTGGTCAGAAAGGAGTTGGGTGGGTGAGTGGAGTTGGGAGACTGTTGAATAGAGCAGAGATCCTCGGCGTAAGAGTAATGTGTGGTATCCCAGCATCCCAACCAATTACTGAATATTATAACACCATGTCAAGTATAATCACAAACATACGTAAAGATTAAATTCGGCACAGCGTGTATAAACTGCCTCAACATTTTCACTGGGTTTGAAGGACAAAGGAGTGTTGATGAGAATAAGAACAGAATCGGACATAACACTGAGCGTTCACGAAAACGCAAGCATTTACAGTCCCAACAGTAGCACCACCATTCAAACATTTCAGATGAACTAGACACTTATGTAACTGGAGCTAACGGTTTATTGTTCTATTGCTCGATATACAGGAGAAATCTCTGATAGGATATTCAAAATGTTTTATGTACATGACGATAGCAGTTGTTTGAACGGATAACATAAAACCAGCCACCCCCCCCCCAATTACAAATGCTTCAACTACAAATAAATAATACAAGACAAATGTTATGGACAACAACTTCTTTGTTTGTTTCTCACGAAAGAACTTGTTATCCATAACATTCGTCTTGTACTACTGTATCAACCAGTAAATGCCTTTGATGAATTACAAGTAAATATTTGTAGGTTTTCATGATCAACATGTGAAAACGCCATTGTAAACCACCATTTTCTTTAATCTGACTGGTTGAAAAACATGATCGAATGGTATTCGATTCCCGGAAATTGCAAGACTATTCACTGCGTATTGACACGTACAAATATCGCAAACGCCATTGTATTGTTGCCATTGTATCGTCAGCAGTGGTGACGTCATTCAAATCATATTGTGAAGTAAAGTCGGAATGACGTCACAAATGAACAGTTCCAGATGCTAACATGGGAGGCAGCTGAAACGGCCGGTTGATGACACTTCACTGCTGTACCCGTATTTAATGTCAATGAGTGCAGACAGTAAAACCCATGTGGGCCTTTTGGTTTACTTTTGTGTTTACAATGTCGATAAACATCATGTGTTGGCAAATTTCCGGGTGTTATTGAGTATTTGAAGAACGGGAATATTTCATTTGAAACCTCCGGCTAACGCCGTCGGTTCCAAGTGAATTTGCGTGCTTCAAATACTCAATAAAACCCGGAAATTGGCCAACACATGATGTTTATCCTCATAAATGTCCCACATATTGTGTTTCGGTTTCAACTTGTTCTTGCCCAGGGGGATGTGTCAGACTTATTGTTGGTGATTTTGAATGGATCATTGCGAAGCCTGAGAATAAAACTGAAATGGTACTATTCTGAGATGTTCAGTAACTTTCCCGAGTAAAAGGTAATCTGACGACATGGTAGCTATATCACTGACAGCTGAGTAACACTGGTAACTAGCTGTATTGGTACAGAACGCTGGTGTTAGGCGGACGAGACAGAGAAAGCGAATGCTACTCAACTACCCCATTACAAAGTTATTCATGAGGATTTAGATACCGATATACATGTACAAGGTAGATAGATATAGTGGACGCATTTTTCATATTAGTTACATACTATATGCAGGTGACACAACTAATCCGGTATCTACTTGTTTAGAGATGGCACGGCATTTATTTATTTACGTCAAAATTGAGATGACATAGTTACCACTCTGCTGGCTTTTAAACGAGTGAACCCTTGATAACAATTGCAACGAGCGAACCCTTTATAACACTTTAATGAGAAAAAGCATCTTAACATTCGTAAGGAATGAACCCTTCCTATGAAGACTCGTAACGAGTGAACCCTTTATAACACTTTAATGAGAAAAAATCCTTTTTAACATTCGTAAGGAATGAACCCTTCCTAAGAAGACTCGTAACGAGTGAACCCTTTGTAATGAGTACATGACGGTACTCTGGTGAGACAGTGAACATGTTACGTCAGGCATGCCTCTCATCTGACCAGTATAGACCACGCAAAGATAAGACTGTTTTCGTGAACGATGTCTCATGCACAGCGTGAATATTGCAGTGTAACTTACATTTGCCCGACAGAAATGCTTCTGTGAACTCCGCAAAGGTTCCTTCATAGGTCATGTTTTTGGCGTTATTATACATCGACACGCATGCATCTTTGGGGTTTCTCCTGATCTGAATGCACTTGAGCCTCTTCTCCGCAACCTGTGTAGGGAGCATGCGCAGAGGGAGATGTGTAGCGAGCAGCCTTGGTGGGGGAAGACTTTCTATGCCGTCTTTGAAAATGAAGTCAATCATTTGGTCCCTGAGGAGGGATTTCCTGTGATGAAGAGACCCCGTTGTGAGCATCCCCAGCACCTCAAACAACCAGTGGCTACCTGGTCAAGTAGAAAGTTCGAGTGAGGTAATGTTTTCCACCAAAGTCCTAACCATTTCTTCAGTTATATCATGAAAATAATCTTATAAAATGTAAACAGTTGAGTGTGAACCTTCACAAGGACTGACAGAAAGCATGATAATCGAACCACACTGAGGAACAAAGATAACGGCAGGCTCACACAAATTCATCATCTCATCTATAATGGTCGACGTTTACGACAAGCACAGGTTCCTTGTAGGTTCCTCGGGGTAAGTTCTGTGATGAAAGAACATGGATTGTCTGTCCCATCTGTGAGAGCTATCGGTAACATGTTAATAAGAAGTATAGTTCTATTCTCTCAGCAAAATGCACTTTTCACAACTGCGCCGAATTTACATGTTACTTTGAAGATGTCTTACAACACCGCAGTTTGGATGTTTTGGATGAAAGTATTACAGATAGGATAATAAATTGACCATCCACATTGACAAAATATTCACCAAAGTTAATAAAACATCCTAATGTCTAGATTTTAGACTGATATTTGTTATTGAACACATAACAACCGGATTACGAGACATGACGCCATAGCTCGACAGCCTGTTGCTTTGCTGAAAGCTAAACACGAGTTGTCTGCAGTGCTTCGTATCAGCTATGTCTGGACTTAAAGCATTTCCTTTGCACATTTTCAATGTTGTAAATTCACGTTTGTAACGTTTTGATTGCATAACAAAGTACCTACCTGATGTAGAAGGAAACTTATTATGACTGATCAAAAATGTTTGATATTTAGATGAGCATGTACCAAACATCGAAAGACGTTGGGATTCAAACAAAAAACGAACACCATCGCGATTAACTCAGTTAAATGCAGTCCAAAATATATGCAAAAGGTACCTACCGCATTTAGGATACGCACAAACAACTACATCATCTATATTCAGTTGAGCGGCTTTAATGCTTTTGTAGTTCTCCAGTTGATTTCCTCCTTTGATCTTTGATGGTGGTGACCTTGGGAGGTACAAGCCACCATACAGCAAACACTGGAACCCATGACCCAAGGAATTTGTCAGATCGTGGATGTCACCATGGTCGAAAGGAATCCTGAAAATGTCACAGGATATATTTTACAAGTCCCATATTGCCAAAGTAATAATAAATTTTAACTCACTCACTAATTGGTTTCCAGGCAGTGGTACACGTGGTGCAGCGATGTTTCACCTGCTTTTATTGTACATAGTGTTATGGGAGTGTGTTGTTGTTAGTTAAGAGGTGAGGTAAGGTGAAATTGGCTTTAACGTCGTGCTTGAGAATATTTCGCTCATATGACGACGTGCATGCGTGTGTATGTGTATGTGCGGCTGCTTGTACTAGCCCAGACTGAAGCTGGTTTTATCGTGCTAGCCCACTGAGATACCATGCCGCAGTGAAGCATGAATACCCCACTCAGACACATTATACTGACTCCGAGCCGACCAGTCCTTGTTGTACCCATTAATGCCGAGCGCCAGGCAGGGACCAACAAGTACCATATTTTAACGTCTTTTGGTATGACGCGGTCGGGGATCGAACCCGCGACCTTCCGCTCTCTGGGCGGACGCTCTAACCACTACACCACGGAGGCGGTGTTAGTTAAGATGTCACATTGATTAACTTTTCATTAGTATGGGTCACAAAAATTTAAAGCGATGAGTGTGATTTGAACTCGCATCTTGCTTAGGCTATGTAATCCCGCCTGTTGAGAGTAAGTTGAGGCGTTAGAGTTACCTCCCAGTTTGCTGCTTCCGGTAAGACTGTGGCATCCATTCGAGTGAGTTCTACATGATCGTAGTGTGATCTAAATGGCCGTAGTGAGGAGTATGTACTGCAAGAATTCTCGAGAACTGTGTGGTAGGTATATAAGGATTGGTTGGTGAGATGAGGAGTGCTTTGGATTTACGCTCATTGGTCTGCTAGCGTCGTCCGCTCTCATCGTCTCAACTGCCAACACACTTCAATCAGTACATCGACCAGAATCAAGACTGCGGTAACTACAGACATTTAGTTAATATTTTAGATTTGTGACCTAATATCTTAGATTTTTGAAACCATAATATTGTTTTCGAAATCTGTACTGTCATTCATTGTAACCTTGCGCATTGTTTATTCAAGATATTGTTGAATATTTTAGACCTGTCTGTGTTCTATTTTGCTGTCTCATAGGGGACTCACAAACCGTAACAATATAGGGACCAAGCTGTTGTGTCTCAACTCACATTACATCTCAGGTCACCAGAAGAAGCATTGCATGATGACCACTCATCACACACTCTGTCTGGTCTTACCACGGGTTGGATTACTGTTGCCATCATTGTCGTAATTGCCATTATCACTGCTCTTTATCATATTGCCTCTGTTTTTGTACTACCTCACAATTTTGTACTGCAATGGTGAAACCTTTGTCGAGATTTGTCTTGATTTGTGAACTTAGTATTGTTACGGTTAACTAAATTGCCGTCACAAAAGGTTTAAGAGTCCCCTTTGAACCAGCAATCTAAAATTTTCAATAATATATTGAGCAAACAATGAGCTAGCTTATGAATAACAATACAGATATTTGGTACAATGCAATTGAGTCACAAATCTAAAGTAATGGGTCACAAATATGAAATATTAACTCACCAGAGTCTTGACTTTTACAATGAGAACAGATATTCTAATTGAAGGTAGTTTACAATGACAACATTCAGGCTCGCACTGTCAATCTTGAATGTAGGTCAGATGAAGGCAGACAGACGACAACCGTAGGCAGGTGACGGCAGAAAGATGTAGACAACTCCACTGATATGAAAAGTCCTGTGTAATTCCGTGTGTGTCCCCGTGTGTGATTCCGTGAGGCACAACACAACAACCAGTCTTTATATATACTGACACAGATCCTTGAACATTCGAGCAAAGCGTGGCTGTATCATTATTCTCTCAGAACTTTCGGGAACAGCGTCGTGTTTACGCCATGTCCAAACAGATAGTTATACAAACGATTACCTCAAGGGCGGCAACTCTGAAGCGCTATAAAAAAAGGCGAACCGCTAAAATTGTATTGCCATTGAACATACATGATGCGAAATGTGACCCACAACCCTCACTCAAAACTCGAAACATTGTGACCCTATAACAACTATCACTTAATCAATGATAATATAAATTACAAAAAACACACTCTCGTAACAGTATATTTAGAATAAAATTATAATTTACAGTTCTTTGCTGTTTTCCTGGTTAACTTATTAGTTTCGACTTTGGAATCAACATGAAACAAAATCTGAAAACCCACTTGTCCTGATACTTGCGCTGTGGGCACTCTCGGGCAAAGGTATGAACAATTTTCAATATTAACATTCTATAGGGTCTATAAGTCCAGCGAGACGCTACATCCGGTACTAAGCTGGCCCCCTCACCAACTTGCAATATGCGTGACGGGCCCAGCTTACTTCCGGTACCAGATTTCGGGTGACAAGCGTATATTCAAGAAACAGTTCTGATTCGAAATTGCGCGACCGCTGAATATGACTTTACTAGACTGGACCAAGTGTAGGTTGATCGTCATTGGGAGTACTAAGGTCTCGCGAAGTGCCGTGACCCACTTACGGACACAGCATGGTTCCCTGGGTCGGTTGCGCCTGCGCTAACGCTCCGACACTGACCCAGGCAACCACTGCCGAATGGCGGCCTTCGCTGCAGGGAGACGCGCAAAACATTTACTATAGGAAAATCCGAGAACGGGTGGTTAGAATCTTTTCATAGCATTTTCATCGATACTATGGGAAAACATAGGTCACCAGAACAACAGCCATCGTTACTTTCAGTGTACAAACACGTTATTTAAGCAGTTTCGAGACACGAAAATCGTCGTTACATTGGCGATATGTAAATAATGACACACACACTATTTTCATCACAGACATGTGCTTTGATATTTCGTGTCAGCTCGCTAATCGTACGAGCGAAATCGTACATATAAAACATGGATCTGAACGACCACATTGATTGAATATAGTTAGCATCTTTATTTTAGCAAATGTGATGACGAAAATATCGCCGTTTATGTCCCATGTCTTCCATCGTTTCAGGGTTGGTTTGGCCGATATATTTTTCGATCGCCTTGTGAAATTACAAGGTAAAGCGTTTAGGATATGGATGATGTTAATGACAGGGTTTGTCATTCTGATAACAATTGAACAAATATACCAATATCATTCTGAAATGTTTATGATTATAATAAACATGGTGAATCAAATGATCTATATACAAAAATACACACACATATGCAGCTCAAAACAATGATTTTTTTACTTTATATTACTAAATTGAACATATAAAAATACATGGTATGAGCAGTATGTTAAAACATTGGTATAACATATATGTGAAAAAGAACGTTTTAGACAGATAAACATTCCACTATTTGTGAACTGTTGAATTAAGGGTGATTTTTACCAATGAAACCTGTCATGAGAACTGTAGTTTTTATGGCTGAGAGTATACATTTGCTGTACATTGATTATTTTGAGCATGATAACCCTGGTGTTATTAGAATAGATCTGATACAAATCATCTGATGTCAGCAATTTTTCAGTCAGATATCAGTTGACTAGTTTCGTTAAATGCTGCTATGGATTCTTTTCTTTAATTTATTATACTTTACAGTAGTGCATGCATACATAATTCAACACACCATCAGTGATTTTGCTTTTGAATTTTGGGTAATTTGCTCTGTACCAGTCCACTATTGTGATTTAATTTTTAAAAATCAAAAGTTTATGGTGTGTATCTTGAAATCTTTATATAGATATTGGGTATTGTAAACTTATTTGGACTAAAGCACTAACTTCTCTTGGTGCACAGAGTAAAAAGGCTGTTATTGCATTGTACAGATGTCAAAAGAAAGTTGAAAATAAACCATGTGAAGATTAATCATGATATTTAATGCTATGATTGTTCCTATAGTGTGTAATGGTGCAGAAGTATAGGGGACCTCATATTGTAAAAATATTGAAGACGTACAGCATAAAATGCGTAAACGGTTTCTCAAAACAGCAAACAATGCTATGGTTTGGGGAGAATGTGGCAGAACCCCTCTCCAACTTGTGCACACCACAAGCCCTATAAGGTATTGGTGCAGACTACTGTATTTGGATAAACGCAAACTGCCTCGGGAATGCCGTACCACATGCCCTCCTCATACTAAAATTATTCTATTTAGACTCATTCATATTTAGAATATTCTGATTTGAATATGTGCGGTTAGCACAAGATGTGAAGATCATTTGACAACCTACAACAATCAGGGTGTAGTTCTATCAACAGTTTATCTGATTCCTTATATTAACAGCATTTTAAATCACTGTTAAATGTGGAAAAGAATTTTACAGTCCCTATCCCTGTACACCTAAGACTATCCATGGCTCTTTTCAGATGTAGTAGGTTTAAACTTTCAGTCGGTTTTGGAAGATACACAAATGTCCCATACACTGAATGACTGTAAATATTGTATATTAAGGGGAAGATCTTTTGTTGAAGATGAGTTTCATATGCATGTATTGCTTGTATGAGAGCATTACTCAGCCATAGGGGCGGTGGGGTAGCCCAGTGGTTAAAGCGTTCGCTCGTCACACCGAGGACCCGGGTTCGATTCCCCATATGTGCACAATGTGTGAAGCCCATTTCTGGTGTCCCCCGCCGTGATATTGCTAGAATATTGCTAAAAGCGGCGTAAAACCATACACACTCACTCACTCACTCACTACTCAGCCATAAGAATTATGTATGTGTCTTAAGCAATTATATATATAAAGTCTGTAACACACTGTAACATTTTTCATCGGATCGATGATCATGCTGTTGATCTCTGGATTGCCTGGTCCAGACTGGAATAGAACCGAGTGCAGCCTTTAACAACAAACCAACCAACATCTTTTATCGAAATTCTTTCATCTGAAAACTTCGACAGACAGACAAGACAACTTTGATGTTGTATATAACTCATGTCTATATTCATATTAAACAGCTAAGGGAATTGTAATAGCTTGTTTCATCGGCTTGCGTGTTTCATGCAATCAAAGATAGTCTGTATTAAACTGTCTGTTTATTGGGATTGTAATACCAACAGGTTTCAAAACTGAATGTACCCAATTCCCCACCCCTCTCCAACCCCAGATATAGCTACAGTGGTTTTTGTAATAGGAAATGGACATATTATGAAATATTAATAGCTGTTTTTTACTTAACATGTCTTTAACAAACATGAGCCCCATCTGGAAGTGTTGTGTATCAGTGTGTTTTAGACAATGCACACTTTCCTTTTTATGAGTGGGCTCTTTCAAAACAAGTTAAAACACACACAGTTATGAATATTTCATAGTGTGTCCGTTTTCCTATTATGTACAAAACTGTACCTATATATGGGGTGGGGAATGGGGTACTTTCAATGTTATATATAATGGTCCGATGTGTAATCGACTTCCCAGTAGAATCACGCAGATGTTGCCATACTATGATTATTGTTAAACTTTTTAAGATCAATGCCTATTGCATCACCGTGATCAGCCCAATGTAATATTGAAATGTAGTATGCCAAATGAATACAAATAATAAATAGGCCTAATTCTTCTAATATTATTCCATTTTTGAAACCACATACATTGTTAAAAAACCATTGTTGAATGAATCATTTATGTGTTTCAGATGTATTAGAAATAATTATTATTAATTATATAATGTGGTAACAACCATTTTCTAGTTACTATTAGTGCGCGTTCAGTTTATTTCCAACACACAAAACAGAAGAAATGGGGGCCAAATCATCGAATTACACGTGATAACATTTGCTAAAATAAAGATGCTAACTATATTCAATCAATGTGGTCGTTCAGATCCATGTTTTATATGTATGATTTCGTGGCAATAGCGAGCTGACACGAAGTATCAAAGCACATGTCGGTGATGAAAATAGGGTCTGTGTCATTGTTTACATATCGCCAATGTAACGACGATTTTCGTGTCTCGAAACTGCTTAAATAACGTGTTTGTACACTGAAAGTAACGATGGCCGTTGTTCTGGTGACCTATATTTTCCCATAGTATCGATAAAAATGCTATGAAAAGATTCTAACCACCCGTTCTCGGATTTTCCTAAAATAAATGTATGGCGCGTCTCCCTGCAGTGAAGGCCGCCATTCGGCAGTGGTTGCCTGGGTCAGTGTCGGAGCGTTAGCGCAGGCTCAACAGACCCAGGGAACCAGGCTGTTACGGACACAGCCTATTAAGACAGCATTCTTAATTTTTAACAACCGAAATGTATGTACACGGTGAATTGAGGGCAATCGATGAAACTCCTGACAATTCATAAACGTCATTATAAAATTATATGTTTGACAATGACATTTTAGGCCTGTCGCTATGTTGATTCGTATCCTGGTATATGACGTTCCATAATGACCAGCTACACAAAACGATACTCATCGGCCCAATTAAATTGATAGGACTTGTCGAGATACACTTACACTTGAGGCTTTCCATCACGTTCCTGTGCCATCGTGGTGATGAAGTATCTTGACAATTTGATGATATATCACACCTCAGCTGTACTGTAACTGACTGGGTGGTGTATATGTGAAGCACTGTGAATATATCGACGGTCCCCGACGTTATACAGGAGATCTAGTGATCACGCGACCACATTTATCACACATGGTGCACACTCGGTTGTGCTACTTACCTCACGACATAATCACAGTGAACCCTGACTCGTAAACTCTCAAAGGTTTATCATTTTGCTTTCAGACATGTACAGTTTAAAGTCTGACGTATCTGACATTTGAACCATGTGCGTTTAATGATAATATTTTATGATGACATGATAGGTGCTTGACAGTGGTTGAATCACATTATCTGATCAACATACACTGAAAATTATGTTTTTATTACAATTCAGTACATCATATTACACATTTAGAAATTATTACATTCAGTACAATGCATTATCAATGCAGATATTGATCAACATGGCAAACAAAGGTTAACTCGCATATTCAAACTCCAGTTATATAATATAATTGTATATCCCTTGAAACAAAACTGGTATCAAAATATACCACATCAAACGTTTTTACCCTGGACCCCAAATTGATGCAGATGCTACAACGCATTCATGACATGTGTTGTACTTATTCATAGTACCCGTGAACATCTGGGTTACAATTGGTCTTCAGTAACCCGTGCTTGGCGTAAGAGGCGACTACCGGGATTGGGTGGTCAGGCTCTCTGACTCCGTTGACACATGTCATCGTATCCCAATGTAGTAGAACGATGTTCATGATGTTGATCACTGGAATGTCTGGCCCAGACTCGATTATTCACAAACCGCCGCCATATAGCTGGAATATTGCTGGATCAACAAAAAACAAACCAACCAAGCAACTTATTCACAAACACACGTGAATGAAAATGAGTCGTTCAATATAACTACTTTCCTATCTACCATAACAGCACTTTGATGCCTTGTGCCTCTCATATAAACAGATCCATATACGCCGACTGGGATTCTTTCTGGTGCAGCCCGCCGTGATATTGCTAAAAGCAGCGTAAAATCATTCTCACTCACTTTAAGACCATATCACAACGAAATTGTCACAATGTGGGTCAGTTTGAGGGAAACACCATGCGGGTCGCAATGACATGTCCCATATTCCGACCTTTGACATACCTCCTACAAACTTGCTTTGTCACTTTAGTGATTTATACATGTTGTTATTGATTGAATAAACAGGGGCTGGTGAACAAACTGTTCCAGTTTATGTGAATACTGCTCCCATACAACATAACATGTGTTACAAAGTGAACAAAGAGTATTGAATTTTCCAGAGAATGAGATGAAACTGTGGACGAAATATTGGTGATAAATTATGTTTTTCTACCAATTTGCATCGTTAAGTTATATATTCTGTTAGTCCAGGGTATTTTATAGTCCATCATCAGGGTAGATCAGGGTAACGTGATATGTCATGAGATATTTCAGTTTGGTCAGAAGAGCTTCTTATATCGTTTGGATCCGAGTAGCTAGATATATTGTTTAGGTCAGGATAGCTACATACAATGGAATCTGTCCATTATAGACTGGCCTGAGACCGACTCATTTTTCCGGAGCAAAGAGCAGTCCGGATTAGACAGACAAGGAGTATTTACCTTTTCATTTCTACTTTGTTTTTGAAAGGCAATGTCTTGTATGCAGGGATTAAGACACCGTGTGTATTTGTCTCGTATACAGAGCCGGAAACAGCAATCAGCTGTGCACACGTTCCCCTGTGACCTACCGGTGATTTAGTTAAAACATACCCAGTAATATTGCGAGATGACCAAGGTAGCCAAGTACAATGTTGAGATCAAAGTAGTTGGACACGCCGCATTTTGGTAATGGCAGTTACATATATCTCCTAGACGAAAGAACTTTGACTTTGCCTCCGTGAATAGAACAGGTTGGCCTGATATACCATTTTTTTTAGGATCGGGATATTTTGATTTTGATATCGTTTACATCGGGCTGGCTTAATATATCGTTTAGATCGTGGTGTTTTGACAAATCGTTTACATTAGGCCAGCTTGTAATATTGTTTAGATCGGTACATTTTGAAATATCGTTTTCATCAGGCTGGCTTTGTACATCGTTTAGATCGGGGTGTTTTTGGCATGTCGTTTACACTAGGCTAGCTTGGTACATCGTTTAGATCGGGGTGTTTTGACTTATCGTTTACACCAGGATAGCATGTTATATCGTTTAGATCGGGGATATTTTGGTATATCGTTTACATCCGGCTAGTGCTTGTAATATCGTTTAGATCGGGGATATTTGACATATCGTTTACATCAGACTAGAGCTTGTTATATCGTTTCTTATGTGTATTGGGGCTAAACCCATGTTGGTTCTATGTCGATTACCACCACTGCAGGTATATCTGGTAAAGAGTTACCACATCAAGGACAGAGATAATGATCGAGGGAAAAAATACCAAAGCCTTGAGCATGCACTCGTGCGTGGGTATGTGCGCTATATAAATATCCAATAATAAATAAAAAATAAGTGACAACACGTATCAGTTACCAGAAGTAGAACGAAGCAAACGTAGGACAGGTTTTCCACCGTCTTTATCTGAGGCCAAGGTGAGCTCACTGTACTCAGTGGTCTCATGGTCACAAGTAACATGTTATACTCTGATAATAGCGTCACACATGCTGCGTCAGTTGCTTGTAATCTTAGTACGTGTATTGGCCTCCGTAGTTAGCATAACCCATGTATGAATGAGATTCAAATAGTGAGGGAGTTAGTGAGTTAAAATTGTAAGTCACATCGGCATTATTTCATATCCTGACTATATCAAGTTATACATTCATACTAATTAAAGGTAAATTATAACGAAGGACAGTAAAACAACTAGTTTATCACAGATATATAAATGTAAAACTAGTAACTAACTCTAAAACATTTTAACTATAAATGACAAGACATTATAGAAACAGGCTATAGATGGCCGACAACCGAAGGTAAGTCACCAAACTAGCACCATGAGACTAACAGTAGGAAATCAAATACATGATGTTACATGATTGTCGCAGATTACATTAAGTACACCAATGTAAATCTGCGATGTTTACCTTAAAAGGATCAAATAGAGACAGTAATCCATATCTGTCGAATACACTGCAGTTCTTGTTGTTTACGTTTTCCCTATACAATTGTGTAGTTCGATGCTCATGCTGTTGATCACTGGATTGTCTGGTCCGGACTCGATTATTTACAGATCGCCCCCATATAGCTTGAACATTGCTTAGTGCGGCGTAAAACTAAACTCTTTCACTCCCTTTGGGGAGATGGGGAAGGTAATATCCAGTCACCAGAATCCCACACCTCACAGTCGAAATATATCGGTTGGTTTGGTGTAGGAATTGTCATTGCGACGAGACGTAGTCTTTCCCCGGCATTTTCCCAAACACAGAACCTCTCAAACTACACAGCGATCCTCGATGTCAACAATTAGAACTTGCATCGGTGCAACTTACAACTGCGAAAACCTTATATTACTGTTACTATGCATGTAGGAAAACCATGTTCTATGGATAGTAAACTTCTTTATTGCAATGGGTGTGACGTTTCGGTGTAGGTACTGACACCGTTATCAAGCACAAGTTGCTGAGTTTGCTGATGTACTTAATTGCCACGTCTCCATGTTGACGGCGGATACCTTCTTTGAGGGGAATATTAGAAGTTTTAAAGATGAAGGAAAACCAGGTTCTATGGATAGTCAATTTCTTTATGTGTTAGTACCTACACCGAAACGTCGCACTGAGTTCAATAAAGAAGTTGACTATCCATAGAACTTGGTTTTCCTTCATCTATACAACTTCTAAAATGCCTCTCAAAGAAGATACTTTGCTTGTGTTATGAAGTGAGATCAATGATTCTATTAGATCCAGAACATTTTGTCGAAATGATGTTTTAAATCATCAATGCCAAGATTCAAGCATTATATATCATACTATATTGTGCAGCAGGTGCAACCTGTGTTTATATGGTTCAACAACGTTATCACCTAATGTTTCCTTAATCGAGCCCTATATATTTATTATTGTTGTTTGTTCCCCTATTCTCAAACCTAAGAGCTAAAAAGAGAGTGAGTGAGGTTAAAGTTATCGCCACATCGGCAATATTTCAGCCATATCGTGACGAGAACAATTGATTTTATACATAGTAACTAATGGTAAATTGTAAAAACCTGTCAACGTGGGACAGTAAAATAACTAGATTATCACAGATTCGAATATAAACTAGTAATTAGATCTAAAACAGTTTTACTATAGATGACAATACAATATAAAAACAGGCTCTATTTTGACAACAACTGAAGGTAGATCACCATACTAGGGACCATGCGGACTTACAGTACATTTGCTTCCTGCATGGGCCCTAGCTGGAGTTACATCATCCCTTCAGCTGTTAGCAACTGAGACAAATCTAGCCGTATATTAAAATTACACATTTTAATTTACTGGGAATGTTTTGGGACTTACGTACCCCTCAAACCCAAGAGCTAAGTTACAGTAAGGTTATCTACCATTTGCAGTTAAAAGACAAACAACAAGTACTTAGCATTTATATTATACCTTTATATCAATACTTCATGTAACATTCAGCGATTTTACACGTATGATTTATAACAATGTTTAATTAAAGTCACGTCGGCAATACTTCTTGCAACAGTTAACAATTCAATCAGAGCAGTACTAAACCTATATGTATATATATATATATATATATATATATATATATATATATATATATGTCATAAAACTGGTTTCTTTAACCAGTGAATTGTTAAAGTTTGGTTCCGTCACCGACAGAGAACCCACACACAACAAGTCTTCATACGCAAATCAAGATGGTGACAGGAATGACTCACATTAACCGAAAGCATTGTTTGACTCTGGAGATTTTTCATATTAACCACTCTTTATTATTGACAATACCAGTTGTTCGCTAAAGCGGAGCGTATCCTGCTCCATTGGTCCCACTGCCATACGCACATGCAACGGCTAGTCAATTATTTAACTCTAGAGTTAATCATTCATGTTTCCGTCTGTCCTCGTAGTATGCCACTAAAGGCGGGTTCAGAATAACATTGACTCAATGATAAACCAAATATCAGGAAGTAAGTGTTCCAACTGTAATGTGAACTGATGTGCTTTATTCAAGCTACCAGGTAATTTTGTTAATGTGTTCTGAGATGACGAACACAGGACACATGTTATTTGCAAACTTTGATTTGAAAAATACAGAGGGTACATTAAACATAAAACGAAAATGCTTATAGCAAACTGACGGATATAACGAATTGGTTTTTTTTCATCCCATCCACATATTTCAGTCGAAATGCGAATAACGAAGTACTGTTATATCGAACTTAATTTCAATGTAACCGCAGTTTACTGTTGTTTCAAACAAATGAAGGCAGTGCGTACATGAGGTATATTTTGGCGGACTCACTAAAGGTGCACATCGCGTGCAATCACAGTTCAAGGTTAATTACGGTACTGAATATGAAAATTCGATTCCCGAACCGTTCATCTTCTCATTCCAGGTGATGGCAAAATTTTCGCTCTCTGCCACAGTGAACCATTTTTTCCAGTCTCCAACTTCTCCTACAAAATAAATAAAGCGTGCATGTTTTGCTAATATGTTTATATATACAGCTATTTATAGTTTTCTCATGTCCGCAAGGACACGAGACTCAATCGTACGAAACACCCTAAATTGATGTATAGAGTTACTCTCCTTAGCCGTGTTAGGACATATGTTCAAGATACATCATTACGATCTCAGATTTCTTCGCACTTTACAGATGCACAGGGAAATACACCCAAGCATCGAAAGAATTATTTACTACACTACGTTTAAACATTGCGATATAACTTAAATACTTGTAAAAATGCTTTTAACTCACTCATTACCAAATGATTTTAAGAGATTGCTATTCAATCCCTCTTTGCTGAAGGGATGGTGTAAATCCAACTAGGGTCAATGCAGCTAGCAAAAGTACTGTAAGTCCTTATGGACCCTAGTATGGTGATCTACCTTCAGCTGTTGATGGTCTATAGCCCGTTTTTATTTTGTACTGTCTATACTGATTTAATTTTATGATAGTTACTAGTTTTAAATTTATATATGTGGTGCTCTAGTATTTTTACTGTCCTTCGATGACATGTATTTATGTTCCAAATTTATTGATTTTAATATTGATATAAATTAATTTGTTCTCGTCACGATATGGCTGAAATATTGCCGATGTGACGCTAAATATTAACTCATTCCCTCAATACCTCTTCACCTCACATGCACCTCAGCTGTCTTCAGGGTTATATAAGTGTAATATACAGCCCTAATTATCTTTTCTCGCATTTGGCCTCGGGTTAATTCCGGTGTGTTTCCATTCGACGAGTTTTCCCCGTCGGTATATAGGCAGTGAGTTTCATTGCATTTATCCTCAGTCTTTGGATTGTGAGACGTAATACCGTTTGAATAACATTAAAAAACTACTCGATGTTGTGTACATTGTAATCCATATCCTTTTTACCTGATAGAACTTATATTTAACTGTCGTTTCGTCAGAGCTATTGCTTCGGCAATGTTATCCATGGAGGCGGCCATATTTGATGATGACGTCATGAGTTTATGTGTACACAGTTCGTTGACAAAATTACTTTTGCAAATTCTGTATTTTAAGCGTCAAAAGACATTTCCACAATTATAATGAGTCCTGTGACGCTCTACATTTATTATTCTGCACCAATAATAAATTAATATGTTCTGCTTGTTGATTGTAAACAAATTACGTCATGAGGATTGTGACGTAGTTCTGGTCAGTTGTCAGTTGACAGTTGACAGTTCTAGACTGATTGTGGTGGATGCGAGTCGCAGATTTTCCATATATATTTTCACCGGTATCTACCGAGAACACCACAATATTATGTAAGTATAATATATCCAAGCTTTGCTTGAGACAGTACTTACTTAATCAGAAGTTTGTTCTGATTTAAATAATATTTGACATTATTGACTGTGATAAATTTATGTGTAATAAATCCTTGTTCATTGTTTCAACTTCATGTTGTCAAGTTATTTCTTTTTATTGGTAAAAACTGTAATTAACAGGGTAAAAGTGAGAGTGGTCCAAAGAACAGACATGCTACTGAAATAAAATATATTTTTCTCGTTTTACCCCCATTGAACCGTTACAGTTTTATGGTGGCAGCGGTGGGATCCTTTCTTGTGGATCAAAGAAATATTTAGTAAAAAACTTGAATAAAACATAAGTTAGTTGGTAACTTTTATTATAACTTCAAGTAAAATTTTCCCATTACATAAAAATGGAGTTTCACAGTCAGAATAACCCTGATCTAAGGAGAGTAAACTCTGTGGAGGGTCCGGCAGGTAATTTGCGTTCTCGCCAAATGCACAGCTTTCCAGAGTTACACTCTGTGACCAATACTTCTCCAGAGTCTGAGAATGTTGCTGGTACTATACCGCCTCAGCTTTCACCAGTTGATGTACTTAGTTCAAACACATTCATTCATTCCCCAGTGAATAATGGTTTGCATCCTGAGCTCAATTCTCGAGACAATTCTATGCATGCTACACCTTCGTACAATCCGCCACGCCCAGTGGTGAGTTCAGATCCAAATCTTGTGGGTCTGGTGTCACAGTTGTCCAGCTGTGTTCTCAGTTTGTCTCAGAGAATAGATTCAATGGATAGAGGTACCTCAAGGGGAGATACTTCCATTGGTAGAATTTCTCTGCAGTTGCCCAAGTTGAATGGAACTGGTGATTATCGGGTTTTTGAAGCCCAGTTTAGCAATATTGCTAATCAGTCCCGTTGGAACAATGCCCAGGCTGCTCAGATGTTGGGATGTGCTCTGGAGGGAGTAGCACAACGTTTCTATGCAGGTTTACCTGTAAGAGAGCGTTTAGACTGTCATAGGCTGTCTGATCAGTTAGGAAGACGGTATGGTACTTGTATCCCTGATGTCAAATGGGAGGAGCTCATGATGAAAACCCGTAAACCTAGTGAGACTATCGCTGAGTTATGTGATGATATCTGGCATTTGGCTTTGGGAGCCTATCCAGATCTACCTTTTGAGATGCAAGAAAGGTTTGCCTTAGATGCACTTAAAAGAGCAGTCGATAAAGACTTAAGACTTAGATTCCTTGATAGAGGTGTCTGCACTCTTCAAGATGCTATCGAGGTTGCAGAACTTTACGAGTCTGTTGTTGGAAAACCAGGTTCAAAGAAATCTGTGAGATCTGTCAGTCCTCATCCTTCTCGAGGGAAGAGAGTTCAGTTTGAGTCGGAAGGTTCTTCCGTGGATAAAAAAATAGATTCTCTTACTGACCAATTATCAAGCCTCCAGAAGACTGGAAAAACTTGCTGCCGTGCAGTTTCACTCTTCTCGTTCCCGTAAGCGACCTGAAGGAGGAAGACAAAACTACAATCGCAATAAGGACAGACAAAATCAGTCTCAGTCCCCATGGAAGAAAGACAATTCCAGTCGGCGGAGTGAATCTCGCTCGCCAAGTACGAGCAGGAGAGATAAAGATGCCTGTTTCCAGTGTAAACAGACAGGTCACTGGGCTTCTGAGTGTCCTCTGAATTCCCAGATGAATGGTTGTCAGGGAAACGGTTACCCACTGGCCCGGAATTAGGTCGGATGCCAGTGGAGAATGTACCAGTTAAGGAGACCTCAAAGCCTAAATCAGCTAAATCCAGTGGTCAGGTGGAAAGTGGGATTAGTGTGGTTTCCAGTAAAGGGGAGGCAATTCCCGATAATCCTCTACACAATCCACCTGACCCAGTTGCTGTTAAAGCAGATTTCCAAGCTTGCTTTAAAATAGGTGATAAGGGCCAATTTGTTAATTTAAGGATAGGTCATACTTATTTCACCTTACTTGTTGACACTGGTAGCCAAGTGTCTATGTTGTCTCATGCTGCAAGCAAGCGCTTATCCTCCTCTATAGCTATTAATCCTATTGACATGATGCGTGAGGCTGTGAATGGAAGTTTGTTCCAGGCTTTTGGAATTTTCCAAGCATCTGTCTTTCTGGGAGATGATTTAAGCCCTAGTAAGGAAGAGTTCATCATTGCAGAGGTAGATAACTCTCATGAGTGCGATGGCATTATTGGAATAGATGTGTTAGAAAGACTTGAGGGTGTGATCGACATCGCTGGGTCGAGGATCCAGTTGCGTGGCAGATGGTTGCCAATGGTTGGCACAGAGACCACTGTCATGGTTGCTGATGATGTCCCATTGCCACCCCAGTCTGTATCCTATGTCCAAGTTAGCTTGCCTGAGAGTCAGAGAGATCAGTCCTGTATCCTCATAGAACCCTGCAAAGACATGTTATGTGCACATGGGTTAGTTATGGGCAATTCAGTAGTTACTAATCAAAGTAAAGTGGCTACAGTCAAAGTGATCAATGTTCTAGACAAAGAATATATCCTAGCTAAAGGTAGAATCCTGGGACAGTGTGAGAATGTAAACTTAGTTTCAAATAAACTGGCTAAGAGAGTCTCACGTGTCAGAGTTAACAATGCTAAGGTACCTGATCATTTAGCAGATTTGTTTGACCAAAGCAAGGTTAATTTGGACGCAAGCCAACAAGAAAAGCTTCGAGATTTCCCATACAATTATAGAGATAGTTTTGCTAAGAACGATGATGATCTTGGATGTACCAACTTAGTTAAACACCGCATTGACACGGGTGATGCGAGACCAGTCAAGCAAGCCCCTCGCTGTCAGACCCTTGCTAAGCAAGAGGCGGAGGAGAAAGAAGTCAATCGAATGTTGGAGCAAGGTGTCATACAACCATCCAGTAGTCCCTGGGCTTCCCCAACAGTTCTTGTTCAGCGCAAGGATGGTCGTTGGAGATACTGTTGCGATTTTCGTGTTTTAAACGAGTGCACTAGAAAGGACTCATATCCTTTGCCTCGTATCGATGACTGTATCGATAGCCTAGGGGGTGCAAGGATGTACAGTACCATGGATTTACAAGCCGGCTACTGGCAAGTCGAGATGGATCCACGTGATCGTGAGAAAACAGCTTTTACAACACGTTTCGGCTTGTTCGAATGGAATGTTATGCCATTTGGTCTCTGCAACGCTCCTTCCACGTTCGAAAGGCTCATGGAGATGATTCTCAGAGGTCTCCAGTGGAACGAATGTCTCTGTTTCCTGGATGACATAATAGTGTTTGGGCGTGATTTTGATCAAGTAATGATCCGCCTGAAAACAGTCTTGGATCGCCTATCTTTAGCAGGCCTTAAATTAAAGCCGAAGAAGTGCCATCTCTTCAAGGAGAGAGTGGACTTTCTGGGTCATGTCATTTCGGCTGACGGTGTACACACCCAGCCAGAGAAAATTGAAACTGTCAGATCCTGGCCAACTCCCAAATCTAGAAAATAGATCCAACAACTTCTGGGACTAGCCAACTATTATAGAAAATTCATCAAAGATTTTTCGAAAACCGCGAGACCACTGACAAAACTTTCCAGTCCGTCGGTTGAGTTCCAATGGACTGAGGAAACTGACAGAGCTTTCATACAGTTGAAAGACGCTCTCTCACCTCAGCCCCTGTCCTTGGTTTTCCCACACGAGAGGGTGAAATCACCATCGACAGTGATGCATCTGGTGATGGTCTTGGAGCTGTCCTGTCACAGAATCAAAATGGCAGAGAGGTGGTACTGGGTTACTACAGTAAATGTTTCACTCCAGCTGAAAAGAATTACTGTGTCACTCGCCGTGAGCTGTTGGCAGTAGTTGCAGCTTGTCGTCATTGGCATCCATATGTCTTTGGTAGGCCTGTCACCATCAGAACTGACAATTCTGCAGTCGCTTGGGCTAAGCGCATCAAGAGGCCAGTCAATCAAATGGCTCGATGGTTGCAGGAGTTAGGTAACTATGACTTGACAGAAGTTCATAGACCCGGCCGAGTTCACTGGAATGCTGACGCTCTAAGTCGTCGACCTTGTACCCCTTGTCCGCAGTGTCATAGAGAGGAAGGACCATGCAGTGTTGCTGAGACAAGTGCTGTTTGTTCTGCCATCACCAGATCCCAATCTGCAAAACAAAATGATATAACCTTCAGAAAGGAAGAGTTAAAAGACATGCAAATGCAAGATCCCAATATCAGTCTTATGTTTAAGGCTAGAGAGCAGAATAAACGTCCGAAATGGGAAACGGTTTCAGGATACTCTAATGCTTGCAAGGCATTATGGGGTCAGTTTGATCGCTTGTCTATGCGACAAGGAATTCTTCATCGTAGATGGGAAAGTAATGATGGCAAGGAATGGCGCTGGCAGATTGTTGTACCAGCTGTTAAGAGAAGATTCATCCTCGAAGGCTGTCATGATTCACCTTTGGGAGGTCACCTTGGTGTTTCCAAGACATTCGCAAAGCTCGAACAGTCATTCTACTGGGTTGGAATGAAGGCAGATGTCAGAGACCACTGTCTACACTGTGACAAATGTGTAGCCAGGAAAACACCTAAAAGCAGAAAGCACCCATGAAGGAGTATATAACAGGCTCACCCATGGAGAGATTGACAACGGATATCATGGGTCCCCTGAAAGAACCACTGCTGGAAATAAATATGTTCTGGTGGTCACAGATTCTTTCACTAAATGGACAGAGGCCTATGCAATACCAAATATCGAGGCTAAAACAGTGGCTAAGAAAGTGGTGGAAGAGTGGATATGCCGTTTTGGTACCCCAAAAATGTTACATAGTGATCAGGGTAGACAATATGAAGCTACACTTTTCCAAGAGCTATGTAAATTGCTGGGAGTGGTAAAAACCAGAACAACCTCTCTCCGACCTCAGGCTAACGGTCAGGTCGAGCGTTTTAACCGCACGCTAGCAGCAATGCTAAGTATATATACAGAAGGGAGACCAAGGTCTTGGGACACACATCTCCCCTTTGTGATGGCAGCTTATAGAAGTTCCAAGCATGAATCAACGGGCTGCACGCCAAATAAATTAGTATTTGGTTCAGAGGTGCGAATGCCATTTCACCTAGTAACTGGTGATCCTAACGAGAATCCCATTACTAGAGAAGAATATATGGACGAGATCAAACAACAGTTCACAAAAGCTTTTGAGACTGCCAGAAGAAGTCTCAAACGTTCTTCGGGAAGTGCGGAAAAGACGTTACGACTTGGGGAGCAAAGAGTCCAGACTCAAAGTAGGGCAACCAGTGTGGTTGTTTAACCCCCACAGAGCCACTAACCTCAGTTACAAACTTATCCCCAAATGGTCAAAGGGTTGGGTTGTCACCAAACAAATTGATGACATAACCTACCGTATCCAGAATGGACCTAATAAAACACCAAAGGTTGTGCATATTGACCGGTTGTTACCATATTTGGGGAGTGATCCACCTAAATGGTGGACTTCCAAGCAATAGGCTTGAGACATCATCCATGTATTCCTGAAACAATCAGAGATGAGAGTTAAAATCATCTCACTAAAACAAAAATATCAAAATTATCAGTATAGGTACTTAGGGATGCAGAGAACGGACTGATGAAGTAGACTAAAGTCTAGAGCATTAGGACTTACCAATCTGTACGGATTTAAAATTTAGGCGTGTTGGACGCTTTCCATCAGTATTTCTAAGGGCCTAAACATTTAGAATGACTGAGTTATAAATCCTACTGAGAGTAGATGTCGGATCAACTTAATTACCAGTAGGATTAGTAGGATATGTTATTGTGGGAATAACATTGAAATTGGAACTCTCTCTCTTATACCTGCACTACAAAATTTAAAAAATAATAAAATAAAATAAAATAATTGTAAATTCTTTGCACATCAGAAATACATTTCTTCACTCTGGTTGACAATTTGCTAATTATAATTGTTACTCTTATTATAAGGTCTTCCCCATCTGTCCTGGAGTTGTTTGATGAGAACATGTCCCTCGGAGAGGAGGAGAATCCACAACCAGAAGTGTCAGCTAGCCCATCCATCAAGGTCGTGACGTTCGTGCCGGGGATGGAGTGTCCAGCATGTCCGGACAAGCAAATGTTCACCAACCTGCATGCATTTGATCGGCATTGGACCATGCGTCACCTGAAGAAGCTGACGACATTATTTTGTCCTGTTGATCGGTGCCAAGCGATCTATAACAGATTTGGAGATCTCACCAGGCACTACACGGCTACCCACGCTGGAAGAAAGGGGAATCCCAGCAACCCAATGGTCATCTGCCGAAGGGCGAGGACCAAGGTGGCCGAGAACCGGTCTTTTATCGACCCTGGAAACCTGGTGTTCAAGCCAAAGAAGGAGCGGCAGCGGTCCCGGAACACTCGTCTTGCCCTAGCAGAGAGTAACCACCAGGCAGAGCCTGAGATGAATCAATCACTTGTTGCCAGCCAGGCCCAGCCTGAGATAAAGCAATCACTTGTTGCCAGCCAGGCCCAGCCTGAGATGAAGATGCCAGCGGAGTCATCTTGGGAGCTCGCTTATGACCGTCAGGCCCTGGAGGTACAGGCCCTCAGGATGGAAGTGGAGCAGTTGACCCGGCGCCTCCACAAAGCAACTCCAGCTTGGCCGACGATGTCGGAAATACCATTATCCAGGCCAGCTCTCGACGAGTTTATCCGGGCTGGCAGGGAAGCCATGTCAGTTCTTCATCTTGCGGAAGATAGGAGGTTTATGGAGCAGCTCACATTAAGGAGACAGGCAGATGCGTACATTAATTCTCTGCAAGCCCAAGCAAAGAACTCTGAGATGTGACATTGAACACTACTATATATGCATTGTAATTCTTTGAATTGGTCTTGGACTCTTTCTTGGATGTGTCGTAAGTATGTAATTATCATGAAATTGTGTATATATTGTGTGTGATTCTCTATGGATTGTTCTTGTAACACTTACTATGTAAGTATATTATGATTGTCCTTAATAAAAAGAACTGTATCATTCTATAAGATAAAATGGTTATCTTAACATGTATATATTAAGTTTCGACATGCAATAAGGTTTACAAAGTAATGTGTTAAATCGGGGACGATTTAATTGTAAAAGGGGGGATATTGTAATATACAGCCCTAATTATCTTTTCTCGCATTTGGCCTCGGGTTAATTCCGGTGTGTTTCCATTCGACGAGTTTTCCCCGTCGGTATATAGGCAGTGAGTTTCATTGCATTTATCCTCAGTCTTTGGATTGTGAGACGTAATACCGTTTGAATAACATTAAAAAACTACTCGATGTTGTGTACATTGTAATCCATATCCTTTTACCTGATAGAACTTATATTTAACTGTCGTTTCGTCAGAGCTATTGCTTCGGCAATGTTATCCATGGAGGCAGCCATATTTGATGATGACGTCATGAGTTTATGTGTACACAGTTCGTTGACAAAATTTCTTTTGCAAATTCTGTATTTTAAGCATCAAAGACATTTCCACAATTATAATGAGTCCTGTGACGCTCTACATTTATTATTCTGCACCAATAATATATTAATATGTTTTGCTTGTTGATTGTAAACAAATTACGTCATGAGGATTGTGACGTAGTTCTGGTCAGTTGTCAGTTGACAGTTGACAGTTCTAGACTGATTGTGGTGGATGCGAGTCGCAGATTTTCCATATATATTTTCACCGGTATCTACCGAGAACACCACAATATTATGTAAGTATAATATATCCAAGCTTTGCTTGAGACAGTACTTACTTAATCAGAAGTTTGTTCTGATTTAAATAATATTTGACATTATTGACTGTGATAAATTTATGTGTAATAAATCCTTGTTCATTGTTTCAACTTCATGTTGTCAAGTTATTTCTTTTATTGGTAAAACTGTAATTAACAGGGTAAAAGTGAGAGTGGTCCAAAGAACAGACATGCTACTGAAATAAAATATATATTTTTCTCGTTTTACCCCATTGAACCGTTACATAAGAATATATGACAAGAGGGATAGTTTTGGGCGAACACAATCACGGATTTTCAACGGTCCATTCATATGATTTCACAGCTCTTTTCCCTTTACATCAAATGTAATCAAAACTGTTGTATTCTTTGGCACTGATGTTATGTATTCAGCTACCACATTGTGTCGAGCAATACCTTACCATCTACTGTCCTTGGTGTCTCTAGTTCAGAGTGTTGGTGACGTGAAGCATGGTCCCATTTTGTGACGGGATACACTGATATCAGCATTATTTGAAAGTGATTAGTAAACAACTGCTATTGTTCAGTAGGAACCATACAATGAAATCCTTTTTCGTTAGCAGAAAAATATCATATTCAATGAAGGTTGTTTTTGCCAGTTGACGACAAGACACATGGTAAGGACACACAAGAGATCAAAACTAAATCATAGTGAGGGCCTCCAAACATTGCATAATATAAGGGCTCCACTGGAAAGAGGAATTAGTGAATATTGATTTACACTTTTGCTCTGTTTTTACCATTTGGTAACTTTCCATAAACATCAAGACATTTTGTACACGTAAATATATGACGAGTGTCCACAACGAGAATATACGTTTGAAGTGTGTCAACGATCACTCAAGTTTCATCTTTAGTGAGGTTTGATAACGTTCGCGTTTGAATGCAAAGCCTGTGTTCAAGCACATCCCTTCGTGTGCCAGGCAGTTTGTACATAGCTCTTGCTAATCAATAGAATGTTTAGTGGTGTGTGGCCCTTTCCCACACTTTACTACATCTAAGGAGGAGCCTAAGCTTCTGTGTTCATATTTCGCTGCCCTTGGCGCCTTACTGGCTTCAAAATAGGACAATATGTTCACGTCATTCATACCTTTTCTATAGAATGTCCCTCCAGAACCTTCCTTCCAGATGTTCACGACAGCACCATCTTTCATGCCCGTTCTTTCTTTCATCCTCAACTTATCAAAAGAACAGGCCTCGACCACAGCCTCGCAGAATGCGTCTGTGATGTTAAGCCCCAGAAACGAACGAAGTTCCTTCACGCACTTTAAGGGATGCTGGGAATAAAACAGACGAATATAAACATTTACGATGTCTTCATTGTTCCGGTCATACCTTTTAAAAGGGAGCCGACAATAATGTTTTTAAAATGCATCATCAGAACTACTTATTTTAAATTAAGCGAGATTTATCTGAAATATTACTAATCTGACGTACAAAGAAAGGACACATTCGGTGCTTTTGGATTACTTTCATAAAAGCTACGTAAAAGTTTTGAAAAGTGTTTTTACAGTGATATATGTCACAGACTTTCCTAATATGTTGCCAAAACACCACAGATATCGTGCCCAATAGCGAAGTTGCCAGTCAAATTCACAACACTTTTCAAATAATCCAAAACACCAGGTGTGTACTTTCTTTTTGTACGTCAGTGTATTTGGTGTTTGGCGAAACTTCTAGATGCGGTACAGTAAACATTCGTTCTGCCTTTATAAATAACATTAATCCTTTGGGAACAAAACTCTTTGTCTAGATTATACACTGAAGGGCTAACACATGACATGTCCTCAAATGTGTTGTCTGCTTCTGCACATTCTTTTAAGCTGTTTTCACACAAAACAGGGATGTATTATCTGGAAGCGATGATTTGGTTGGTTGGTTTGGTGTTAAACACTGCACTCAGCAATATTCCAACTATATGACGGTGGTCTGTAAATAATCGAGTCTGGACCAGACAATCCAGTGATCAACACCATGAGCACCGATTTATACATTTGGGTTGACATGATATGTGTCAACCAAGTCAGTGAGCCTGACCACCCGATCCCGTTAGTCGCCTTTTACAACAAGCAAGGGTTGCTGAAGACCAATTCTAACCCGGATCTTCACGGGTCTTGAAACGATGAACGATATATTCTGTCAAGTAGAGAAATCGACCGATTTATGTGGAAATAATTTATTTACTACAGATACTAACCACTGTCATGTCCTCATAGAATAAACAAAGAAATGGGAGGTCTGGGAACCTGGACACGTCAGCCTTCCAGCTTAACAAATAGTCATCGTACCTCCCATATGGCACTGAAACATTTACAATAGAACAATAGCGCTGTTCATCAGTATTCCCCATGGTAACAAGCTGTAGGAAGGACACTCTTTTGTTAGTTCTGGAACACAACAATATTATAGCTATGACAGCTGTGTGTAAATTATTAAGTCTGGACCCGACTATCAAGTGACTGACATCACATCATACAGTGTACCTGGGATAACCTGGATCAACCAAGTCACCGTTCGCGAGCGTCACCGACGGATCTCGTTTGTCGCCTCTGTCGTCAAGAGAAGGTTACTGACGACATATCGAATCTGGGGCAGTGGGATAGCCTCGTGGTTAGGGCGTTCGCTCGTCACGTTGAATTCAATTCCCCACATGGGTACAATGTGTGAAGCCCATTTCTGGTGTCCACCACCGTGAGATTACTGGATTATTGCTAAAACCGGAGTAAAACCATACTCACTCACTCATATCGAATCTTCGCGGATAACCACTGTATGATGAAAATTCCTTCACCTAAGATATTTGTTTAGCGAGCATTTGGCATGTCTGTAGCCTTAAAACATACAACTAAACTCATGTCCAAAAGAAACGATACCAAATATTTGTTTCAATATTTTTAAATTAATGATACTTTTTGGAGAAAAAACATATTTCTGTGTATCCCACGTTCCTAACCAAATGTATTCGATCGAAAAAACCGGTAACATTTATTCACTTAAGAAGCAATAGCACGAATAATCAAAATGACGTTAAGTTGTGTAGCACGAAATGCACGTGCAGATGAATTGTATAAAACCGCTGGTCCGACACGTTGTGCCCACAGCAGTAAAAAGCACACAAAAGAAATGGCACGTTTAACAGCGATCGAGAGAGAAAGAGCCGTTGGAATGGTCCGACAGGGAGCATCACACGCCGCTGTAGCAAGAACGTTTGGATGCGCGCGCATAACCGTTACCAGGTTAATGCGACGGTTGCGTCAAACAGCCCGATCAACAGACAGGCCGAGAAGCGGGAGACCCCGGGTGACCACGCCTATTCAAGACAACCACATCCGGTTACTTCACCTACGTAACCGCTTCGTTCCTGCGACGTTAACGGCGGCGACGGGACTGGGACACCGGATCAGTCGACAAACCGTCTACAGGAGACTGCAGGCACATGGTATCCTAGCACATCGCCCCTACCGCGGAGTCTACCTGACACGTCAAAACAGAGTCAACCGATTGATATGGACCAGGCGTGTTCGGCGGTGGCAACGTCGAAACTGGGCACGTGTCTTGTTTTCGGACGAAAGCCGGTTTTGCCTTTACAAGAACGATGGTCGGCAGCGAGTATACCGAAGAGTTCGTGAACGTTTGGCGCCGAACTGCATCCAGCAAGTCCATGCATTTGGAGGCGGGGATATAATGGTGTGGGGAGGTATCTGCGGTGATGTGAAAACGAGGCTCATCATTATTCGGGGGAACCTGAATGCACAGCGTTACCAGGATGAGGTTTTACGACCAGTCGTGCAGCCATTCGCCCAACAGCATCCAGGAGGAATCGTGTTCCAGCACGATAACGCTAGGCCCTCATACGGCAAGATTGACCCAGAACTTCCTTGCCAACGCCAACATACAGGTTTTGCCATGGCCAGCGTGTTCACCGGATTTGAATCTCCATTGAGCACATGTCGGATCACCTCAATCGGAAAATCAGAAAACGCCCTGCGCCCCCAGCCAACCTCCAACAATTGGAACATTGTCTCCAGGATGAGTGGCACCGAATCACCCCTAACGTCATCCGACGTTTGACGTCATCAGCTCGGAGGCGTGTCATGGCATGTATCGCAGCTGCTGGTGGGCATACCCGGTACTAAAGTGGCGTTAAGACTGTTTTCAGAGACTACCTCACTTGCCTCCTCCTCCACTGTGCTAAAATGAAATTTCAATTTTGGGCACCACACTTCGTTTAAAGCCCTGTGTTAATGATTGTAAATCTTTGATTGCCATGACTTTTTGTACACATGCCGTACAATCATTTATCTAATGAAAGATATCAATTTGAAATGTCTATGTTGTTTTGTTTTAATTTGGTGATCTTTGAAACATGTGGTATCGTTTCTTTTGGACACTAGTTTAGATACAGAACAGCAGAAAAAAATGAAATACAGGAACAATTTTATAGAGCTGAAACCCATCATCCACTAACTTTGGTCGGTGAAGAAATTCTTGAAAGTCCCCTTGGTATGTATCAGGAGGTGCAACCCTCTTTGCGTGGTTGAAGAACGACACACAGACATCCTTCGGATTGCGCAGAATCTGGACACATTTGATTTTCTTTTCCACGATCTGTTTGGGGAGCATGCGCAGAGGAAGATGTGTGTGTAGGATCCGTGGTGGAGGCAGTGCTTCCAGTCCTTTCTTGCAGGCGAAGTCATTCATTCTGGACTCCAGGATCAGTTCTGAATACTGGATGGACCTGTTTCGTAGCATAGAGAGGACCTGGGAAAGCCAGTGACTTCCTGAAACATTTTACTAATATATACAGGTTGTGTATGTGGATTGGTATCGTCAACATTTTCGGATGGCCTGAACGGGGTCGATCGTCAACATTTTTGGTTTGCTGATATCTGTTCCAAAGTTTGCTAATGACTGACTTCGAAACGTTGAAAGTATTTGCCACTTCATGCTGGGTGGTGCCTGTATGCAACATGCCAATTGCACGTAAACGTTCATCACGTTGCAGACGCCGCTTTGCAAATTCAAACAAAAAGTAAGTCTAGAAACAAACACTAACAAATGTGTTAACAATGGTCTACAGTGATTTATCGACCTTCTTGAAAACCGTCAAAATCAAGACACCCCATGCACGTGTATGGGGCTTCTGCGTTGTGCACGTGCATCCTGTACGTTGTGTTTAGGGGGTGGTGATCAAGAGAAATGGTGGTGGGTTCACAAGATGTCAGTCTTTGAAAGGTTTGTTAACGCTTATACTTCCTATCCAAACTGAAAGTTCAGGGTCCCCCAATATTTTTTAAGAGTGTTTGTAAAACCAAGTATATCTAACCTAGTAGTGCATTGCTTGCTTTGGATCAAGTCCAAATTTAACATTGAACATAAGGAAAGACTGTAGACCAATATACATGTATGTTCATAGCTTGAATAGACACTGATCTTATCATCTTTACATACATATATTCTCTTGGGGTGTTATAAACATGCAATTGTTAATCTAAATTATTGATTACATGTGACATGTGACCTATACTTTGAAACAAAATGTGCAAATAAAAAAATATGTGTATCTAACCTGTATTTCACCAATTCAAAATCCTCCTGCCATGACCTTTTAGCCACCTTGCCAGGTTGGGAGAAAAACAGCAAGTGAACAAAACGTTACCCTTTCCTTATGCATCAACATTCAATCAAAATATCGCACATTGTCAGCCAATGAAAACCAGGGACAAGACAGCAGACCTGACCTCATTAAGATTTGGCTATTTTGCATACGAACTACTTTTGACCCATGACCCCATTGGCTATGAATAAATCATTGATTTGTGAAAATATATACCTTTTTGCTGACAATTGTATTATTGATTAAGGCGTTATGAAATTATCACAAACAGGCATATAAGACAAGAGGTATCAAAACTGATTATTTTTCAAGATCATTTTACATTTTTTTATTCTGTACATGATACATAATATACAATGGGCATTGTATTGTTGAATTCGTCCAGAAACGAACTTGGCGTTGTCACCTCGTAAAACGCCCCTTCATTTCACACAGTGTTAACACCCTCGTCAGTAACAATACATACCTTGATACCAGTTTATTTTCCATAACAAAGACTCTGTGGAAAGATTATGGAATGGTTCCTGCATCAAAATGTGTTTCCATGCTAAACTGGTGATGATTGTTTTTCATATATATACTCATGCTAATAATGGTTGTCACCCCCTGCCCACCCAAACCCCACACACACCCACCCCACACACCCTCTCTCCAATAAAAAATTGAAGGGGTGACAACCAT